GTTTGGAATTTTGTCGCCTTTTCATTTGTAAAAATGTCACTCCCTATATAGGACATAGCCCTAAGTAAAAAAATTAGGAGGGTCATAATTCCAAATTTTGAAATTGGAGTTATTCCGCTTAGGCCTATGTCACGGCACCCCTTAGTCCTAGTGCTGGTGAATGCGGGTACACCTGCTGTGTGCCTACGTTTATAGCTGTGTGTAAGTTAGCCCGTTGGTGCCGTGGCTTTAGTTGTTGCGAACTTGGCAGCCAGGCCGATCCTCGGTACAGGTAATATGACACATTGATCCGGCCCTTCAAATAAAAGGGAGGGAAAGCTGGATGGGATTTAGGTCTGCAGTTAAAACATAGGTGTTGGGATTAGTGAGGGGTCGCATGTTGAATTAGCCGCCAGGGAATTACCAGGTGTCACCACGGGTAGGCCCGTTGTACAAGGGTCGACGTTTGGGATGTCGCTTGTGTGCAAATCGATAACCGCCAATCAAAGACACCTAACATGTGATTAGTTTAATTAGTTCAAAAAAATGCCTCTAAGATTGGTGTTCACTGCAACCAGAAACTGATCATACCGAATCACGAAAAAAACGAACATTAGCAAACATTTTTTACTTGCATGGCCAAATTTTTAATTTTTTTCATGAAAAGTTTAAAACTCAACCAATTTTCAACCGTTATTAAACGAGCGAACTAAGTTACAGGGGGCTTTTACGTGCGCAAAGGTACGCATAACCGGGGTTTTAACCATAAGTCAAGATTTTGGTAGTGCTTGGAAAACTTATTATTTCAATTATTCTTTTATTCGTAAACTAACATCCCTTCCCAGGTATTTCTACTTCACTTTTTTATCACTAACTGCCGAATTCACAGCGCTTAGTTAATTAAACAAGAGTTTAACTATGAATTTATATTCAGAGTCACATATACCTAGTTTATACCTACACATAGAGCGCTGTGGCTCAGTTCGCTGTGATTCAAAACAGATGCATAAAAAAATTTCAATACGCGTTGAAATTGAAAAGTGTATTGACTCGAATTTGTTTTCCAATCGGTTTTTTATTTCTCACATCGGTTGAATACGGTTATACGGGCTGAACGAATAATTCATTTAACGCGAAATCAAAATTGGCTATTTATTCTTTATACAGCCCGTTTTTAATTGTATTTATTATTATAATAAATTTGTATTACTGTTCGCTTCCGTTTTGGTCCACCGCGCAAATTTATTATTAAATAAATGTCGAATAAAACTAACGGAGTTTGTTTACTTTTCAATACGGTTTTATCGAGAGCGCTATAAAGACTGAGGAATAAACGTTAGAAAGAAATATGTGTTCAATCAAATCTATTTTTTATTCATATGGCCTGAAAATATTCAAATTTTAAAAATCAGCTGCGTAACAAGGTTAAATATTCAAAAATCAATAAATAAAAAATATAACATTGTATGCGTAATCGAATTCATAATTATGCTCCCAATTTCCACATAAGGCCTGTGTTTTTCATCGTGCATACAATGAAGCAAGGACAGCATTAAGCAAGTTAAATCTTGTTGTGAATGACTTAAACGAGGTTCCAGAAACAAGAAGTAATATTTCTACCCTAAAACATGTGATAAACTTTTTTTCGCGAATCAACGACACGCAAGAATTATGCTCCTAATATATCACGTTTATGTGAAACAATATGATCGGAAAATTATAAATTTTCAGAAAGTTTTCCTGAAGTTGTGGAAGCTTTAGAAAAGTTGCCAATTCAGGGAAACTTTTCAACAAGAAAGACTGCGTATCAATTGTGTGCTGCTATAACATTGCTTTAATGACACTTGCTAAATATTCAACGTTGCTGGAACCTACAGCAAACATTTTGCAAATTAAGACAATAACTAGACCTCATCGCCATTGATCAGCATATTGAAAATATTTTGGAGGTGGTTAAGAATGATCAAAAGAATGCAGAAGGAGTTACTACGGAGTTAATTAAAAAATCTCGGATGATTACAGCCGATCTAGGAGTTGAAATTTCTCTACCACGTTTGGCAGGTAAACAAAAAAAAAAAAACACAAGTAACCCCCATCGGTCAATGAAAATGAGTACCGGCGACGGTCTATAATAAAGCCGTATCTGGACGTAACGAAAAAATATTTAATTTTAAGATTTCACTGCGGCAACTGTTCAGCTGTACATTTACCGCTTAAATATTCCAGTGAAAAGGTACGAAAGGACACGAAGTATTTTTAACAGATCGATCAGCTAGATATGGGCAGTGAAGTCATCCTCTGGTATAATTTTTTGAAGAAGGAGAAAAAGAACTTGTCCGCGAAGATATGAAAGATGTTGAAGTTGTAGATATATTAAAAGAATAAAACGAATTTCTACCAGTGATAAATAAGTGTATTTCCATTTTAAGCGCTTTTCCATGCACAACAGCGACTGTGGAGCGATCGATTAGTACACTTCGTAAAAACCTGGCTCAGAAGCACAACAAAGTAGCAAATAATCGAAAAATTTGCTGAAAATCCGAGATGTTTGTTATTAGCGTGAAAATGATTAAACAAAAACTGTATCAAAAAATTAACACGTATATTTCGTTTTGCCTTTACATCAGATCGTGGCTACGCCCTTGGTCGCTATTATCTGTTTATTTTCTTTGAGGAAAGCTAACTATATTTCTATGGCGATAACCGCGAAATAGTCAAGGGTGGTTGATGTCAACTAACTTGTAACTAACTACTTTGGGCCATAAAAAATCGATAAGAGAAACAAAAACATTTTTTTTATTTTATTTTATATTCAACAATTTATATTGAGCTCGAGGCCATTCTTTAAATGAAAATTTATTGTGGAAAAGCAACAATAATTTGAAAAAATGGTAGAAGTGATAGCTATTTCGCAAATCACCACAATTCCTCATCAGACTTCTTTCAGTAGGATTCGAGCCGACGATCCCACTGACTCAGCCAGTTGCCTATGCATCGCGCTAAGTACGCCTTGTAAATTATCGATTGCTTTTTTCCACTATTTTCATTTTTGTTGTGCCAACACAATCAAGCACAGCTATTCCGCTGCAATTCACTTGATCATGTGGTTGTTGGTATTGTTGGTTTTTGCTAATAATTATATTTTTAGAATGTTAACTTTTAGGTGTGCTCGTCCTTAAGTTATTTGTTTTTGTTATTTATTTGGCCTTATAACAATTATATTCAACAGTTTATATTGAGCTCGGGGCCATTTTTTAAATGAAAATTTATTGTGGAAAAGCAACAATAATTTGAAAAAATGGTAGAAGTGATAGCTATTTCGGAAATCACCACATTTCCTCATCAGACTTCTTTCAGTAGGATTCGAACCGACGATCCCACTGACTCAGCCAGTTGCCTATGCACCGTGCTAAGTACGCCTTGTAAATTATCGTTTGCTTTTTTCCACTATTTTCATTTTTGTTATGCCAACACAATCAATTGGGCAATTCACAAGGTGTCGTATTTGTCGTGTTTGTCGTGAAGTCATGATATTTCATAACAGTTGTAAAAATGTTGTTATTGTTTTGTGAAGAAAAATAACACATGACGATACAACTCTGCAACCTATGTTTATTCGGTGTTATGTGAGGTTAAGTGCTGAGATATAATAAATAATCGTAACAGGTGTTCACAACCGTCGTGTTTTAACACAACTTTTGTTAGGAAAATATAATTTCACAACACCTTGTGAATTGCCCAAGTATTTTATTTTATTACATTTCATATTTGCTTACATATTCTGCTGTAGGTGGTCCCATATTCGAACTCCGTCAGACATAACTTAAAAATGATAACATTTCTATCTTCCTTTTATTTGTCCTCAATTCGAAAAATATTTGTGAAGTGCAGAAAGAAAGTGTTTTCAAAGTAAAATTTGTATGAGGATATTTAAATAGAAACTTGTTTAAAGAAAACATTCTCCCGATTACATCTGCATTACTTTTCAACTAGTTTCAAGTTAGCTTTTTGTAGTAAATACAAGTTGGTTATTTTTTATCAATCGATAATTTTTTTATGCAGGGCAGGCAGAACTGAATATCTACAATACTTACATTAAGTGTATTAATAATAATAGTGGAGCTCGCGCTTCTGTGAATTCGTTTCATGTTGCATCAGGGATGCCAACTCTATTAAGGCTGATTCCCCCAAATTCCTGAAAAAATTACCTTATTATGAATGGTATTCCCCAAAAGGGCAGTTCATTCTCATTTTTATTATAAAAACAAAAAATATCATTAATTATAATGAGACAGTAAGGCCAGTATTTTTTTTTAAATATGCATATAAAACTAATACTTCTGACAATATTTCGTAACGCATATATATCTTATATGAATGTTTATCGGGCATAGGATTATTCATCAGAATCACATATTTCTTGATGAAGTTTTTGTAATTTTCTTTTAGTTGCCCTTAAATCAAGAGAGGTTTTATTTTTGAATAGTTGTTTTGTAAGTTTGCCTCCAAAGTTGCAATTTCTTTAATATCCACATGGTTGCATGAGAGATTGTTATTACAAATTGTAATTTTATTCTCAATAGGAATATTGTAATAAAAAATCGTTTGTATATTGAATTCCCACAAAATTTAAAGCTTTTTCCCGAAAAATTCAAGTTCCACCAAAGTCGGGGAATTCTCCCGCGGTTGGCATCACTGTCTTGGGTAAGTGTAACTGGAAGAGCGTGTGATTCTTGTTGCAAGTGTATTTATTGTACCACTAGCAACAAAAAATTACACGCCAATTCAGTTAAGCTTACGAATACGCAGAAGCGCGAATTCCACTAAAATGAGATTGGCGTTTACACAATATGGTAGTGTTTTGTCGAGCTTCCTCTCCGATTTGCAGCGTGCGCCTTAATATTATTGCACAAAGGGGAGGGACCCAAAGTTTCACGCCGAATCCGAACGGCGATTGTATATAAAGCTTATATTTAAATCAATGAGATTATTTTTGAAAACATTTTATTTTATTTTATTAGCTTAAAGACACAAAACGGCATTGAGGTGACTAGTGTTGGCAAATTAAAAGATGACAAAACGTTTGTAGTAAGCGGTTCATATTCTTTTACTGGAGCAGATGGTAAACGTTACAAAACCCGGTATACTGCTGACGAATTGGGTTATCACCCTATTACGGAACTGGATTTGGACATCCCTGAGTAAGTGCTTCTTTATATATTAAATTATAATGTAAGACATTTATGTTTTTACTAGCCTATAGCCGCGGGTTTCATCTAGTTCATCAAATTTCATTTTTTTTTTACACAAACATACAAAATAATTTAAAAATTTTTTATTATCTTGCTGCTCTCATTTTAATATCGCTGAAATGAGAAAAAATTTAACGAAAATTGGTTAATAGTACTAAATTCAAACTTGAAAAAGAATCAAAGTGATTTTTGTTTAATATTAGCAAATTACTGATACATATTTTCTTTTGAATACGCTCTTATTCTGTACTTCATGGATGCTTTTTCATATTTCGGAAACACAAAATAAATATTTATATATGTAGTCATTTCAAACATGTTACCTTTGACGGCATTGGAACTAGGACCTTCTGAAACTTAGCAAATAACAGCAAGCATCTCTGCACACTCAGCTGTAAATTTGTCCTCGATTGTTCAACGTGAATCAATTTTCTTTGTCGTTTGATTTTGTTCTTCACTTCACATACCGCTAGCTTAGAGTGAAAAGTTGTTAAGTTCAATTTTAAAAATTTTACAGGAGAGGAAAGAAACTTCTTAAAGGCATTTTTCCCAAGTATTTCGCAAAACTTTGAATACAATATTTTGTCTGTTCAAAGAAAAGCAAAGGTCCATACGAATAAGAGATTTCGTACTATTTTGGCCTTATCCGATTTTCAGTGCTTCTTTGGACTTAGCAAATTTTCCTTTCATTAAATATATGTAAACGAGAATAAATAAAACAAGTACCTTTATCCTTTCCGAGATACTGCATTTTTAATTTCTCTAGCGTCCTGTATCAAAATATGAGTTTTCATAAAAAGTAGACTTAGCAAATTTTCACTCTAAGCTAGCGATATGCCTTTTCGTAACTAAGAAAACCCAAAACATGTAAAGAAGTATAAGTTCGGGCGAACCCGAATTTCATATACCCGGCGCAGGTATCAAATATCGTTTTTTCAACTTTCTCTAAACTACCTTGCATGATCAGCGGGGGCATTTTCCCTATTTCAAGCGTTTTCGATAATATTCTGAGTTAGACTTAATTAAAATGTAATTTAACTAAGTTTGGTAGAAATCGATAAAGCGGTTACCGAGGTACACCTTTTTAGTCATCTATACCTACGGTGACCAGATTTCTGTGGACAAAAATCGGGACATCGAATCCGAAAATTAATTTTTTTAGAATAGAAAGACATGACATCTCTTATTCAGTTTTATTTAAGACAAAACAAAGAAAAAAAAACTTTAAAAATGTTCGCAAAAATGTATACACACAATATATACGGTGGCGAGAATGTAAATAGGGAAAACACATTTTAGTAAGTTTTGGCTACTTTTCTTTGCTATAAAAATGTTTAATTATTTTATATGAAAACATTACTTACTATCTAAAAGAACCCCTTTTAAACCGAATTTCAAACTTTGTAAAACATTTAAAAAATTTCGAAGAATTATAACAAATTTTTAAACTTTTTAATCAGATTTTTGGATTTTTTTTTGAGCATGCAGGTTTGTAGCACAAAGTGCAAGCTCGAATTTTGCTAATTTTTGTACAAAGTTTGATTTACATGGTTTTTATTATAAGCTACATTCTCTTAAAAAATAATAAACATTACATAATCGAAAGGGGAATAGCCAAAGAATGCTAAAGTACCTTTTCCCTATTTACATGCATGTATGTATTTTCGCCACTTTATCTACAGCTTATAATTTTCATATCCATGAATTTTTTGAGGGAATTAGTATTATTTTTATAATAATAATAATAGATCGGCGCTTAAACATATTGGTGAAGAAAAGATGCGCTTTTCTTTCCTTTTTGGAAGTTGAATTCAATTTATTTATTTCTTAATTCACTTTTGTTTCTTACTTTACTAATTGAAGTTTTTGTTTCTTTATTTGCGCTTAAGTTAGTTTATATTCACAAGTAAAATCATAGGCCCGTAGTCATAGTCAAAATAAAGTCGACTTTAAAGTTAGTTGCAGCTTTTTTGACAGATATCCCATTGAAAATTATGTCAAAAAGCTGCAACTAACTTTAAAGTCGACTTTATTTTGACTATGACTACGGGCCATATTTTTTAAGTAGGGGACTGTAATTAATTAGAGATAGCGGATTGTACATAGGTATGTAATTTGGTGCGTATACGTGTTCCGAACAGCGATGACGACGATGTTTGCACGTTGGTGGGTGCTAATGCTCTGCCTGTTGCTTTGCATGACAATTCGATTGGAGTTGATCCAATGCTGTGTGAATGCAAGGGGAGCTTTTTCGAAGATCCTGCATGTTGTTTTTGCTATTGCGGTCACCGCAATAGCAAATGTAGTAGGTAATGTAATGCGATCAAGCATACAAATTTGCAACCCTACAAAATTACCTAATATGAATCCGCCCTATTACAAATATAAATTTACGATATTGAAAATGCAACGCTGTTGTATTGAACAATAGCAGCTAGGTTTAAGA